TTGTCAATTCATTTCTCACAGTTCTTCAAAATGCCTTAAAGATATGTTTTGATCCGGGGAGTCCATGACATTAGTGCACGGCTAGTTTGATGACTTTGAGGTCCTCTAAGAGTTGAGCACGAAAGTAAATAGTTATTTAATCACTGTAATGTACTTAAACTATTTAAGATGCCCAAGCGCACAAGTAATCTGCAAACAGTGAGCATATGATATGTACTGCCATAAATAAGATGATTATAATGATGCATACCTTAATAAAATATGGCTCAACTTAGCGGGAGTTAAGAATAAAATTAGAATTCCGTGCTGATAACGTGTTATAAAATAAAAGCAATGCAGTAAAATGTAAACAAGAAGAGATAGAGAGAATGAAGAAGCGTTTTCTTCTTTCACTTTGGTGTAATTTTTCATTGCAATTACATGACCTTTTATATGCATTAAAAGTAAAGATGATGGACATAAAATAGAAAATTTAATCTTTAAGTTATTCACAACAACATAGACATCCAATGTAGTATCCAATGTAGTATCCAAAGTAGTATACAATGTACAAACTATTCATAACATGAATATATATTTTAGTGTTAGATTTTTTTTTATATTTTAGTTATAAATATTTTTAACCAAGTTTTATTTCCTAGTTGAAAATACTAAAATATAAATGATACTTGAAACCAGTCAAAATTTTGAATTTTTGACTAGCTTTCACTGCAAAATTTGAGTATCCTAAAATTAGGGCACATTTCACTGGAGAATTGCTTTCGCCATTGAAGATGACGAGAATTTCTCTGCTGCGTTACTTTTGCAAAGATATCTCATGCTTTGCTATTTCACGCCCTTGTTCGGCAATAACAATCAGAGATTATTCTTCTTCTCAGAGCAACACATCTATTTCTTCGGCAAAGGGTAAATGCAGGTTTGATAACGTCAAGTGCGTAGATGATGCCGTGAGTCTTTTCCGTCGAATGGTAAGAACGCAGCCTCTTCCTTCGGTTTTTGACTTCTCGAAATTATTAAAGACTATGGTAAATATGAAGCATTACTCTGCTGTTCTTTCCATTTTTCGACAAATGCTGAAATTAGGCATCCCAATTAATGATTTTATCTTGAATATAGCAATTAACAGTTATTGCCTAATTCATCGATCTGACTGCGGATTTTCAGTGTTAGCCATTTACTTGAAGAGTGGCATTCCATTTGATGTCGTCACCTTTAGCACCCTGCTAAGGGGTCTCTTTGCAGAAAATAAGATAAAAGATGCGGTTAACTTGTTCAAAATGTTGGTGAGAGAGAATATTTGTGAGCCTAATGAATTCATGTATTCAATTGTCATGAATGGGCTTAGCAAAAGGGGTCATACTCAAAAAACTTTCGATTTGCTTAGGGTAATGGAGCAAGGAAGCACTAAGCCCAATGCATACATCTATAGCATTGTTATAGATGCCCTATGCAAAGATAGGATGTTAGATGCTGCTATTAGCCTTTTTGAAGAGATGAAACAAAAAGGCATTCCTCCAAACGTTGTCACATATAGTTCATTGATTGATGGTTTCTGTAAGTTTGGTCAGTGGGAAAAGGTTAGGACTTTGTTCTCTGAAATGGTAAATCTTAAGATTTATCCAAATGTGCACACCTTGACTATAGTGACTGATGGACTTTGCAAAGAAGGGAAAGTTGAAGATGCTGAGGAGGTAATGAGACATATGATTGGAAAAGGTATAGAGCCAGATGTGATCACCTACAATGTAATAATTGATGGATATTGCTTGCGCGGTCAAATGGATAGTGCAAGGAGACTTTTTGATTCAATGATAGGTAAGAGCATTAAGCCTGGCATTGTTAGCTTTAACACTTTAATAAATGGATACTGTAAGAACAATAAATTGGATGATGCCATGGATTTGTTTCATGAAATTTCTCGAAACAGATTGGAACCTAGCATTGTTACCTACAATACTATCTTGCAAAGTCTATTTGAAGTTGGAAGGATTGATTTTGCGCAAAAATTCTTTGTTGAGATGCTATCTATAGGGCTCAAACCTGATTTATGCACTAATCGCATTTTGCTCAGTGGTTATTTCCAAAATGGGCTACTTGAGAAAGCTATATCGCTATTTCATGAGTTGGAAGTAAAGAGAGAAGATACTGATATTGAACTTTATAATATTCTAATTAATGGATTGTGCAAACATGGCCTGTTCGACAAAGCTCGTGTTATTTTTGAGAAGCTTTCTCTAATTGGATTGTTTCCTAATGTGATGACATACAATATAATTATAAAGGGATTTTGTCTAGAAGGATTCTTAGATGAAGCTAAAAATATGCTAAGAATAATGGAGGAGAATGGTTGTTCGCCAAACAATTTCACCTACAATGTTATTCTACGAGGATTCCTCAAGTTTAGCAAAATCAATGAAATGACAACTTTTTTGAAGGAAATGACCGAAAGGGACTTCTCATTTGATGCAAGTACCGTAGAGTTACTAATAGATGTTATAGCGAAGGATCCTTCTTTGCTTAACATGATACCACAGTTTCACTCGGGAAGTAAGAAATGAATATTTATTTCACTTGGCTTATTCTGCTATACTTGCGAAAGAAATCAGATCAATGGAATTGTGGAAGCTGAAAGAATGGCAATTAGCACACCGTGAGCTTTCCAAGCAAGCTTATTGAGGAGGTACATCAGTTCTAATATTTGATTGTTATGCCACTCTGCTTTAACTTGGAAATCATGTTTTATTGCACTCTTAATATGAGAAATGATGTGAGTTTCCTTATGTATACACATTATAAGTCCAGGAATTATATTTTCAGATGAGAAGCTTCTTCTTGTGTTCCATGAGGGAGTGAAGCATGGTGCTGGGAATACTTCTTCTCCAGGAAATAATACCTTTCACAGATTTTAAAGCTAGGAAATCTTCGACTACAATACAAGGCTAACAAGTTCGTTTTATATCTACTAGTGCAGTTATTTATTTTAATGTTGTTATGGTTTATGTGTGTATATTAATTTTTTATATCGCTGACTATTGAAGGGTCTCAGAGGAATGATATGTCAAGTATATCACAGAGGAAATCAGCAAAGTAGTCAAACTCCAGGAAGAGCTAGACACCTACGTTGACTGATGTTTTGTTGATTTATAGATTTTAGACTTGCTATCAAATTGCTCTGGCTATTAAGGATGAGGTTGAAGTTCTTGAAAAGACTAGCTTTAACGTTGACTGATGAAGCTGCTTTAAGAGAGGGTTTGCTCTTAGGAAGACGGAGGAGGCTTTCTACTTGAATTGGGTTTTACATTCATTCAGGATAACCGACTGTCATGTTCAAGACACTACCCAGGTTGATATTTACTTTAGTCAAATGATAATTATCTGTCAAACGACAACATATCCAGTAAAATCCCACTAATAATTATCTGTCAAAGTCTTCAAAAAAAAATCGTCTATTGTGCTTAGCTGCTTATTCAGAAGTCTCTTCCTACATCAGAATTTTTATCTTAGGTAGCCCATGCATTTTCCCACTAAACTAGCTTCTAAAATTCATGCACCCTTCACTCAAAGAACATGACGAGAAAAAGGATAAGAACATGACTTAGACGAGTTTAAGGAATAGCTGCTTATTTAGAAGTTTCTTCCTACATCAGAATTTCTATCTTAGGTAGCCTATGCATTTCCCCACTAAACTAGCTTCTAAAATTCATGCACCTTCACTCAAAGAACATGACGAAAAAAAGGATAAGAATATGAATTAGACGAGTTTATGGAATGTAATGTTTCCCCACATTTCTGAAAGATAAACATGATGTCCAACAGTATTGTAATGTTTCCCCACATTTCTGAAAGATAAACATGATGTCCAACAGTATTGTAAGTAGGGGACTGAAAGATTCATAAGCCACTTTACATGTGTGAAATTGGTTCTTTCTTTCCAATATTTGTCCAGTAAAGCCAAATGTTGCATAGAACCGGGAGGTGTTTTGTTTTTATTGGGGAAGTTTTTTTAAGGTAATATTTGTCTTCTTTGTCCCAGGGCTTTGGTTCAGTAGTAAGACCGCAACACGTGATATTAGTTGCAGTTACTGCCGAAATACTTTGGTAGTTAAGTGAAGATAGGTAGAGGGGTGGGTCATTATCCACCAGGTTTCGAACCGTGGGTCACGTCACCCTTGCAGATTTCTCGGTTATGAAAAAGTAGTATTTCTGTTCTTTGACATGGTTCTAATCATTNTTTCTTAACTCCATCAAAGTGAAGCTTCATAGATATACGAATATCATCTTTGTATTATAGATGTTATACCTTGTTTTTTTTAACTTGGAATTGAGATAAAATTTAAATTCCTATTTTGATTGCAGATTCAGCTTATGTTTTCCACGACATGTTGAGATTAATATTCTAGAAACATTAACAAGAGAAAATTTTGCAAAATTTCCAAGAACCTCAGGAAAATTCTAAAATAATTGATTGAGTTATGACTTAAAAGCTCAAAACCAAGTTTTGTTTGCACTTTATTTGACAAAATAGTGATTATGTTTCCATATCATTAGAATATTCAAGGAATCCTTTTTGTTTAACTTATCTAATACCCTGCATGAACTATGGTAATTATATGTATTAGTGAGATTAGCTAATTACTGATATGTAGGTAGGGTAGGTGGCATTTGGGGTGAGGCTGGGGTGGACGTAGCATTGGATAGCTTTAGAAAATGATTGGAGGGGCTGGTGATGATCCATTCTTGACCCGTGGTTATCCATTTGCTAAAGCGGATAATGTGGATATGATCCATATTTTATCCGCGAAGAATAAATCAATTATACGACGATGACATGGACGGATACTTACAAATTTTATCCATTTTGCCAGCTCTAGCTCTGGCTAACAATGAAGTTGAACTTGGTTGTACATTCATTCTGGATAACCAACTTCGGTGTTCAAGACACTACCCGGGTCGATATTTACTCTAGTCCTCATTTTCCAAGTCAAACGATTATAATTTTCTGTCAAAGTCTTGTTCTTCAAAAAAGAAAATATCTCTATCGAAGTATATTGTGCTTAACTACTTCTTCAGAAGTTTCTTCCGACATCAGAATTTCTATCTTAGGTAGTCTATGTATGTTCCTACTAAACCAGCCTCTGAAATTCATGCACCCTTTCCCCAAAGGACAGGACGAGAAAAGGAAAAGGATAAGAACAAGAATTAGACAAGCTTACGGAACATAATATTTCTGAAAGTTAACATGATGCCTAACAGTATTGCAAGAAGGGGATCGAAAGATTATAAGCACCTTCATGTATGTGAAATTTGTTCTTTCTTTCCAGTAGTTGTCCAGTAATTCTAAGAGCTGGATAATCGGGAGATGTTTTGTGTTTTTGGGGAAGTTCTTCGTTTAAGCCTTTAAGGTAGTATTTTTCTTCTTTGTCCACTGGGCTTTGGTTTAGTAGTAAGAGCGCAATGCATGATGTTAGTCACACGTCACGTGTTCGAACCTTACTGCAAACAAAACTTTGGTGTTTAAGTGAAAAAATTTAGAGGGGCAGTTCATTTTCCACCGAGTTGCAAACCATGCATTAGCTGACCCTCGGGGATTTCTCGATTAAATAAAAAAGTAGGTTTTCTTCTTTTATGTGTTTCTAATCATCTTTGCCATTTTTTTGACAGATTCACTCACATGTGCTATTCAAACTTCAATGACATGAGCTGTTCCATTACGGACATGGATGCTAACGTGTTCACCATCAAAGAATTCCAGGTCTGATGAGAAGCTTCTTTCTGTGGTCCGCAGGGGAGTGAAGTACAGTGCTGGATTATACGCATCCATTCGCCAAAGATTGAATCAACAGTAGAAATAGCTGACAGAATCAGCAAAATGCTTGCAATCCTTGATGCCAACATCCTCTGAGTCAACCCCGTTGGTGGCCTTAAGATGTCCAAGCATACTGAAGTTAAGTCTGACTCAGCAACATGGTAATTGCTACTAAGCTCCCCCTTGCACAGTTGACCAACACCAAGTGAGCTTGAATTACCTTAATTGATCCAACGAGAAGTCTGTTTGAAATTGCACATGCAGAAACCAAAATTACCTGGTTATAACAGGGTCTGACTGTACAAATCCATTCCAAATGAGGTCTTCCCCTAGGGTACTGTTGTGCTTCCTATTGGTGAAGATAAGTGGGTCGCGCTGAACTAGGAATTCCCCAATGAGAAGTGTAGCGCCTAATTATGTATTACAGCAGAGGCATGTTACTTACGTATATCGTCCTCTTAAACATAGAGGATGAACTGAAACAAGGTGACTCTAGTTACTATCTATTTAAGGAACTTTCAGAAATATTTTCTGAAAAACAAAAGTGCTGTTGTGGAAGTTAAATGGCTATTAATATGATATTAACAGTTTAATTCTTTGTTTATTCCCCTAGTTATTCCTTTGTTCTGTTTATTTGTGATTGCTGTCTCCTTTAGGATTAGGTGAACAAAGCATGACTTTGGTGCTGGACATCCCTCCTGTTCCTACTGTTGTTCTAGTCTAATTTTACACACTCTCTCTCTCTTGTGTAGAGATACACATTGGCTGTACCATATAAAAAATCTTTTGCATGCTATTATAGAGCAGATTTAACTTTTCAGGTTATTCTTGCTACGCTTGTATTGGAGACAGACCTAAGTTGCGCGGACTCTTCGATTTTGGTGCCGTCCCTGTCCCGATACGAGATGGGAACGGGAACGGGAGCGGGATACGTTCCGGATACGGTCAACTGACTTCGGACACTTTGACCGGAGTCCATCGACAAATTTGGGAGAAAAATTGAGATTTTGATTTCTCAAAATAAAAAATAAAACAGATTTAGGAGATTGAAAGAATAATGTCCATCTTGGAGAATGAAAGATTGAATTCTACAATATTCATGTAAGTTTTTCACAAAATATCTCTCAAAATTTACAATATTTTTATAGCTCTATTTTTTTATTAGCCGAATCCCGCACCCATATCCATATCCGGATCCGCACCCTTGAATCTTAAAATTTAGATTTTGCCGACCGAAGCTATGAAAATTATGAAGAAGATAACAACTATACGAGTTCTTATACCGTCGCTTCAATATTATATAATATAACAGGATCATTACAAGAACAACACCAAAGATTTAGGTGAAAAGTGTCAGTGTTCTTCTTGAACCAACTTTAAAGATGGCACAAAATTTTCATATGGAGAGGATGAAGTTTGTAGTGTATATATATACAGAAAATCAATCCTCAAAGAGAACTTTCATGAGACGCTTATGCATATTCCTTAACTAGTTTTGCATTACTTTGATAAACCTTTTTCTTCCAGCTAAAGGAATTTCTTGCACACACACACAAAAAAATAAAAAAAATAAAAAAAAAAAATAAAAGAGGAACTCCTAAAAAGAAAACCTGAAGTTGGTATTCTTAGCCTAGGCGGACTCAGGATTTTAAGCTTATGAGTTCGGAATTTTAATTATTTTAAGTTATTGAGTTCTAAAATTAATAATTTATATATATTCAATAGAGTTTTTTTATGACAAATACAAAATTCAAACCAAAGCTATTGGGTTCGGCCGAACCCACTCCCGACACTCGCCCGCTCCTGATTCTTCGTGCATGGAGAAGAGAGTTTCTTATTGTTGGACTTCATCTTTGGCATGAGGGACTTTATGTGAATGACATGTGTATTATGAATGCGGTATGTTTAGATCACAGTAGGGCTGTCAAATTTGGCCCAAGCCCAAATGACCCACCCAACCCGTCCAAGGTTGGGTTGGTTATTGACCCGCCCATTTATTGAACTTAACCCATCTTAACCCAATCCATTTCAACCCATTTAAAGTTGGGCTAATTTTTAGCCCAAATTGATCCATGAGTAAATTTGTCAAAATATCTTAGAAATAATTTTATTTTTTGTTTAATATTTTAAATATGACCATAACAAAAGCAAAAAAGCCTTATTTAGTAATTATACAATTTATAAGAAAATAACACATATTAACTAAAGTTTAATAAGAGTTGGGCGGGTTGGGTTATGACCCGAATTTTAACCCATCTTGACCCAACCCATCTTAGCCCAAGTAACTTTTGGACGGGTCGATTCAATCCATTTTAACCCGCCCAAAATTGACCCAACACGCCCATTTGACACCCCTAGATCACAGTAAAATGTGTAAGTATGGAAAAAAAAAAAAAATTGCGTTGAAACATTCTTATTCTGACTTAGCTCGATTTTTGAAATATTGAGCTACGAGTTTAAGAGGACTTTGGCGTGAAATCATCCTATGATACTGAGATAACGATTCTAAAACCATATTTTTTTGGAGTGTATTAGCTATAGTTGGATATACATGATTATGGTTGATCAAAAGATTTACCTAAAATTAATAATAAATAATAAGTAATTGCCCATATTATGGAATAATGGCATATATCATACGTAAAATCTTTATAGTCGCGATGAATACAAAAAAATTACTATTCTCTCCGGTTCACAATAAGTGACCAATTTGTTTTTGGCACGACCATTAAGAAAATACTAAATTCTATACAAAAATACATAGTTTGGCTAAATTACCCTTAATTAAATATTTAATGTGAGGAGTAAGAATTTTTTTTAGGAATATGTACATAAGGGTAATTTTGTAGAAACAAATTGAAGTTTTTCTTGATTATATAATAGACACTTATTTTGGACCAACATAAAAAAAATAAATTGATCACTTATTGTGAACCGGAGGGAGTAGGTAATTTCTTTAAGATCTACTTAACCATTTATTACTAATTGTCAGTGGCTTTTTTAGTACTTATGCGGTTATGCCATCAATTACAAGTATAAAATGTGAGAAGTACGAGACTTGAGGGATTGACCTTTTTTTAAAAAAAAATTGTGCAAGTACATGTGTCAATTTAGATATTTTGCTTGTTAAAAAAAAGAGCAATTATTCTATACTTGTTATAAAATAATAAAAGAAGAAGAAGAGCATTGTAGAGAAAAGTAGAGAGAGAATTTTTATTGATTTGGGATGAATTACAATGGAATATGACCCCTCTATTTATAGGGAGAGAATGACTTAGCCACCAAGTAAAATCTCTACAGTCTCTCTAAAATATAGGCATTCACCTTAAATAAAGCTCTATTTATAACACTCCCCCTTTAATGTCTATTCAACAGATAATGTGTCTCGTTAAAACCTTAACTAAAATAAAACCCAGTGTGAAAAAAATTCTAGTAAACAAAAAAGAGTACACATATCTAACAATATGTCTTTTGGTTGCCCCGTTAAAAACCTTGCAAGGAAAATCCAGTGGGACAAAACTTTGTAAGGAAAAAAAGAATATAATGCATATTAACTCCCCCTGATGAGAGCATCAATTCACATCCTTGAGCCTTCACATCCCGATCTTGTACACTAGCTTCTTGAAGGTTGACGTCGGTAGATATTTGGTGAACAAATCAGCCATATTATCACTTGAACAAATTTGTTGCACATTGATATTCACCATTCTTTTGAAGATCATGTGTGAAAAATAATTTCGGTGAAATGTGCTTTGTACTGTCTATTTTTATGAATCATCCCTTCAATTGGGTATGCATGTTGCATTGTCTTCATACAAAAATATGGGTAGTTTGTCACACTTCAAATCACATTTGTCTCGAATAAGGTGTATTATAGACCTCAACCACACACATTCTCGACTTGCTGCATGAATAACAATTATCACAACATGATTAGATGAAGTAGCCACGATTGATTGCTTAGTAGATCACCAAGATATGGCAGTGCCTCCAGATGTAAACACATAGCCTCTTTGAGATCGAGCCTTGTATGGATCAGATAAATACCCAACATCGGCATAATCAACAAGATCGGAATTGCAATTATTGCCATAAAATAATCCCATATTGATTGTCCCTTTTAGACACAACAATATGTGTTTGGTTCCATTCTAATGTCTCCTTATAGGAGCAGAGTTATATCTTGCTAAGACATTAACTGAAAAAGTTATGTCGGGCCTTCTAGTGTTAGCAAGATACATTAGTGCACCAATTGTACTAAGATATGGTACTTCAGGACCAAGTAGCTTTTCATTCTTTTCGTGAGGTCGGAATGGATCCTTGTTCACATCAAGTGATCGAACAACCATCAGAGTACTTAATGGATGTGCTCCATCCATGTAAAACCGTTTCAATACCTTTTCTATGTAGGTAGATTGATGAACGAAAATTCTGTTTGCCAAATGTTCAATTTGCAAACCAAGATATAATTTTGTCTTTCTGAAATCTTTCATTTCGAATTTCTTCTTTAAATAATCAATTGCCATTTGGAATTCTATAGGAGTTCCAATAAGGTTTATGTCATCAGCATATACAAACACAACAAATTCTGATGTTGTTTTCTTTATACAAACACATGGGCAAATGACATCATTTATATAACTTTCTTTTAATAAATACTCACTAAGACGATTATACCACATTCGTTCTGATTGCTTTAGACCATACAAAGATCTTTGCAGTTGGATTGAAAACATTTTCCGGAACTTTGAATTATATGCGTTGGGCATTTTAAATCCCTCGAAAATTTTCATGTGTATCTCATTATCAAGTAAACCATAAAGGTAGGTGGTAGCCATATCCATTAAATATTTGTCAAGCTTTTTATGGACATCAAAACTAATGAGATAACGGAACGTTATAGCATCCATAACAGGTGAATATGTCTTTTCATAATCGACACCAAGCCTTTGTGAAAATTCTTGTGCAACAAGGTGTGCCTTATATCTTTGTACCTCATTTTTTCTCATTCCTCTTGCGTACAAAGATCCATTTATAGCCAACTGGCTTAACATTATTAGGTGTTTGGACTACAGGCCCAAAAACTTCACGTTTTGCTAGTGAATTCAACTCTAATTGGATTGCTTCTTTCTATTTTGGCCAATCACGTCTTTGTCGACATTCTCCAACAGATTGAGGTTCAAGATCTTCACTATCTTGCATAATACTAAATATAGTATTATATGCAAAGACATAATCCACCACTATATCCAATCGATTCAAATCTGTCTCAATATCGACTGGATTTATTGATAGTTCCTTATTTTCATGAGTCTAAGGCTCAGTGATTTCCTCATGAATCTCAGGATTGGTTAAATCGTGGATTTCTTCGTGAGACTCTTTCATAGTGTCATCTTGATCAATTGTTTTCCCTTTTCTAGGATTTTGATCCTTAGAACCTAATGGTTTGCCACGTTTTAGGGGTGCTTTTGACTTATTAGCTATGACACTAGAAGATTGTCCAACAGGGACATCAATACGGATTGGAACATTCTTTGCAGGGATATATGATTTTGTTATCCTTTTCAGATCCGTAAAAGCATCTGGCATTTAATTTGCTATTTT